AATGTGTATGTATAGTCGAACTGTAATGATTCTACCTAATAAAACTGAAAAAGAAAAAAAAACTAAATAAATCTCATCAGCTAAAGGAAAAAAAATAAAATTAAAAGATGTATATCTAAAGTTAAACAAAGAAGTAGGCTGAGAGCCAAGTCAGATACCTATCTGTTGTTAAAGAATGTAATGTATTGAGTTTCCTAAAAATGTCACTGAAAAAAACTAAGGAAATCCCTCTCCTTGTAAGGAAAAAAAAAAAAAAGGAAATTACTTGGCTGAATTTTAAATCTAAATAAGCTTTTAGGTTGAGAATCTTTGATTTTTCTTCTAGGGTTCTTCTTAGATGATTCCTTCTTGGAATATTTATATTCTTGCCTCTTTGGAGGAAGAATATATAAAATGACATTTTTTTGTCAGAGTTTACCGAGGCATAATTATTTTTATGTCACTATCTTTATCACTTTCAAACAGATGTTGGACCTGAGAGGAACTATCCTTATTCCATGAGGAAGGCCTATTCAACTACAGCTATTTCCATGGCCAAGTCGTACACAGCCCCCCGGACACAGACTGCCAAAATGTATGCTCTAGACACTAGGGTATAAAGTGCCACGTGTCAGTCTGTGTGTGTATGTTATGTAATCAATCAATGTGTTCAGGCTAATAAAATAACAAGCCGATCCAGGAACAGTTATTTAGACTTTGTGTTCAATTAAATTAATTGCTCACCTTAATCAAAAAGTTTGATTCTCCTATTACTTCTCCTTTTCCATTCTTACATTCTTCCACATTTTTTTTTTACCCCTCCTCTCTCACACACACACTTCCCTTGTATTTAACGATAAGGTTGCCAGGATATAAAAATGTTTATCTGTGATTTCCACGTTGCTATTAGAGATTGTAACATGGTGATGTTAAAGCAAAACGATGCTTTAAGAATAGAAAGCAACTTTCAAAAGAGGCCAGAGATGCTAATCTTTGAAGAGGTTGACAGGCTCTTAGCTCCTTCCCTGGCTTTTGCTTCACTTCTTGTATTCTCAACTGAGCAAGTTATTTGATAACTTTGAAAAAGATGGCTCTTCCAAATTCAAGCCAGTATATCAAAGCTTACCATTGCTCTGATTCTATTAAAATAGGAAAAGAAAATAACAGCTTGGTGTACCAGTTACGGGTGGGAGTCAAAGTTAAAAAGGCTCCCCTCCACACTCTAAATGTCAAAAGCAAATGCTAAGTTAATACCGGAGTCAGTGCTGAATTTCTTCCTCATTAACAGCGTAGGAGACCTGTGTATCATGCTATCGCCACTCCAAATTTGCCTGTGTACTGTCAAATGTTAAACTACAGCAGTGATAGCTAAACAAGGGAGTTCACTCAGTATTGAATGGACATCCAAATGTGTTCTAGAATGTCCCATAATAGAATTCACCACTTCAGGTGTCCTCTCACCGCTGGATCTTCAGCACCCAGCAAAATCTCTGGCATGCGATAAACTGTGCCAAATGTCTGTTGCCTGAAAGAAATAAAGGCTCACAACTCTCGACTGAAAATAATCATTTTCCCTCAGAAAATATGTGCTTTTTAGAAAAAACAGAATTAGATATGCACTTAAAAAAATCAGTAGATGATTGCTAATGGGATTTTATTCGTATAATATAACCTTCTTTTTTTTTTAAATTGTAGAGTTTGTTTTTCAAGTTATAAAATTTAACCTCAGGTTTTCTAATTCCCTATTACTCACATGAATAGCATTAATACCTTTGTGGTATCTTAACAGACTGTCAGCTGAACTAAAAATTAGTTCTTTGGAAAAAAGGAAATTTAGTTGTGAATTTCTGAAGCTCCCAAAAGAAATGTTTCCAGTTAAGAAAGATAAACATACTGTGAAATTGAGACGATGGAAGCTGGTATGTGAACTGTGGAGAATGATGTTCATGAATTCACATGGTGTCTTTTTACCAGTATCTCAGGAGAATGTCTAATCTAATCTTAGAATTAAGAACAGTTGATTCACTTTTATTTCATGGATATTACTAACTTGTGTAATTGACATTTAACAAAATTATTTGTAGATTATGTTTACTAGTTCTATGGGTATTCATCTACGCATTTCAAAATTTGTTTTCTGTTGTTCTTTATTCTCAACCTTGGCTTTTAAAATTTCTATTCCCACATTTATTTTATGATATATTATGTTTTATGCATTCTAATAAGTCTCCTGAAATACTCCTGGGGAAAGGCAGGATAAAGTTAGTTAAATAACTAGTTAGATTTTAGAGATACAGATCTTCCCCCCCTCAAAGGTTTCATTTGTATGAGGGTATATCTCAGACAATTATGGTGATAATTGAAATCTATGAATGTTTAAAATTTTGTTTGCAATAAAAATATTTTGTATATCCTAGAAGGAATATTCATATTTTTAAAAATTCTTTGGGAACATTTATTCCTAATCCACTGTGATTTAATGAAACACCCCCAAAATAAAGTATAACAAATAATATATTTTGTACAGCAACTAGAGAACTCAGAACAAATAATAAATTATGATGCAGTAATAATTAACAAAGTGGTGCTTAGCATGCCCAGAAAGAAAATATAAGCCCAAGGTATACACATTTGTGATTATTATGTTGAAGCATTAAAACAGCCCACCAAACTCTGAGTATTACAATTTACTTATATCTTGTTAATTGTGGTAAGAAAAATAAACATTTATAAAATGGAGCAATCTTATTACCTATCCCTTTATTAACTATTACTTTCTAATATCACATTTTAATTGAAACTAGCTATTTGTTATTATAAAAGCTATATAGGTGCATTATAGAAAGTTGGAAAACATAACCAAAAGTGTATGATATTTAAATACCATGGGACTGACTATATTCTCTCCACCTGTATCACTGCTCCTAAAACCTTCCTGAACATCTGTACATTCTTCCAGATATTTTGTGTTTACACACATACACACAGACAATATATTTCTTTTTTAAGAGATCATTTTTAAGAGGTCACTTTAAGAGATCACGTGTTGGCTTTGTAATCTACTTTTTTCCTCCATTAATTACCATTATCTTTCCATAGCAATACATTTGCATCTTATCTAATACCTGATCCATGTTTAAATTTCCGTGAGTTTCTCAAAATGCACTATGCTACTGTTTACTTCAAACCAATATTTGCATTTCCTCTGGTTCTTATGCCCTTTATGTCTCTTTTAACCAAGCTACATT